AAAGGGTGATCCGGATGATTGACGAAAAGGAGGAGGCGGAGGTATATCAGGGATTGGAGGATGAAGAGGAGGATAAGAAAAACGACGGGAAGGAGGTTCATGTGTGTTTTGAGAGGGAGGGGGTACATCTTTGGGTTGAGAGGGTAAAGGTTGATGCGAAGGTCGAGGGGAAGTAGATCTGTTGGTTTTGTGAGTGGGATCACGAGGGTTGGATGGTTGGAGTGATCGAAATGGCTGAAATGGTCGAACAGGTTGGAACGGTTGAAATTCTCGAAATGGTTGAAATGGTGGAAATGGTGGAAATGGTTGGATGGTTGGAGTGATCGAAATGGCTGAAATGGTCGAACAGGTTGGAACGGTTGAAATGGTTGAATGGGTGGAATGGGTCGAGAAGGTTGAGAAGGTTGGATAGGTTGAGAGGGTTGAGAAATTTGAGAAGATTGAGAGGGTTGAGAAGGTTGAGAGGGTTGAAGAGGTTGAAGAGGTTGAAGAGGTTGAAGAGGTTGAAGAGGTTGAAGAGGTTGAAGAGGTTGAAGAGGTTGAAGAGGTTGAAGAGGTTGAAGAGGTTGAAGAGGTTGAAGAGGTTGAAGAGGTTGAAGAGGTTGAAGAGGTTGAAGAGGTTGAAGAGGTTGAAGAGGTTGAAGAGGTTGAAGAGGTTGAAGAGGTTGAAGAGGTTGAAGAGGTTGAAGAGGTTGAAGAGGTTGAAGAGGTTGAAGAGGTTGAATAGGTTCATAAGGTTCGAGAGGTGTCTGCTGATCTGGGATCTTCTCAGGGCTGTGATTATCTGTGCATTTAGATGACACCGAAGGGAGAGCGAGAAGAGCAGGTGAGGTGGATTCTTGTTGTATATCAGGAGTAAGAACCTCGATTGAAGTCTTTCCCCTCTCCCACCAAGATCGTTGAACACCATCATGATCTTCATCAAGTCGATCCGTCGATAGAGATTGCTCATGTTCATTTAGAGCAGATGATGCTAAGAGTAAAAGAGGATTCGGCTCAGATGATGTATCTTGAGGACTGTAAGAATTTCAGTAGCAATAATATTTCAGTATTGAACAAGTAAACTGAGAGAGAGGAGAGACAGTGAGGTTTTTTGTTCCAATGATACATCATGATATTTAGATGAAAGTTTGAGATGGAAAATCCATTATCGGTCGTTCTAAGGTATGAGCCCAGGATAGAGTTAAATGTATGAATCTTCGGGAGGGACGATAAGACTGTATGTAGAAGGGAAGGAGGAAAATGTGAAAGAGAAAGAAAACTTACCAGGGATTCGTATATTGGCCTTTATCAATTTGCTCTTGAGCAAGTTTCTCCACACGTCGGACAGCGTGTCCATGACGATGAGCGAGGAGGTTGTTTTCCTGTTTATTTAGCTGAGTACGTACATTGACCAAGTCAACTTCGAGCAAAGAGGGGGTGAAGGCGAGGTTAAGATCATATACTTTATCCCGCTATCACGAAAGATCAGTTGGGCATCGGATAGACCAACTTGTGGTTTTGAAAGAGAGAGAATGGAGGTTTGAAGCATGTCAAATATAAAAATATTGAGTTTTACGCAGAAAGAGGATGGGGGTCAGGATTTGGTAACGTACAGCTTCGAGCTCTCGACAGATCATTAACAGCGAGATGTATTGTTCTACTCATCAGTTTGAACCACCAATAATGGTGAAGAGACGAGACCGTGTATAAAGTTGGGGTACTTTGAGTGGATAGATAATGTGAGAAGTCTGAAAAGCTAGACTCACCCCTTAACTTGTCCTCATAATTCGCTTCGATGAGTATGAGCCTTGGTTGAGGTGCGGCTAGAGGTGGTAGAGGTGATTGAGAGGGTTGAGGTGGATGAAGTCGCTTTGCACTTGGTGGAGCTGACATCTTGGTTCAACCTTGACAATCTTCCCACAGCTCTCAGCGCTACCAAACAGAAGATGAGGTTATGAGAGAAGAGAAGAGGGTGAGAGGATTAAGTAGGTTTCATGATGGGACGAGATGCGATCGGTGGAAAACGAAAGTGACCTAAGTAACTTATAAATGACGATGATTAATCTCTCCTTCTTCCACCTTTCCTCTTGACCTCATATATTCCACTCACGGGTATCACCGATCACGAAACTGCTTTAAAGTCTATCAGGCAAGAAGAGACAATGTCTACATCACGATCCCCACCACTGCCAACCGTGGTGTATGACACCGAACGAGGTAGTCTATCTGCCCTATCGGATGATTCACTCTTGCCACCTGACATTGATAAATTACTGGCTGAGAAGAAAAGAAGATGGTATTCTTCATTAAGACAGTTTGAGCTGCCTAGACGATGGCAGATAGGACTTACTTGTCTCAGTATAACCTTATCTGCTTGTCAAGCGAATGGTGTGTATTGCTGGCCGACTTAGTGAGTTATCACCTCTTGCCTTTATCCACTTTCACTCCTCTTACCTCGTCATACGCTGGTCACTCTCATTCTGCAATTAACTCCCTTAGCATGTTATATCATATGCTGTGGACCAAACTCGTCTGTGGATTGCGAATATCCAAGGATCTTGCTGCGGTTGAACAAACTAAGTGTGGAATGATGTGAATCAAAACTCAAAGCTGACCCCAAGTGGCCCAGTCGTAGCCAAACAACTCAGTCTCACTGGTTCACAAGCTCAAACCATAGTTGTGGGAGGTATTCTCGGAGTATACATTATGGCTGCTCCATTGGGTTCTCTGACAGATCGTTATGGAGTGAGAGTGTGAGTATTGCGTCACAACGCAAGTTGACGGCTGACGGTGGGTCAGAGGTTCAGCAGTCTCAGCCGCTCTAGCAGCATTAGGTTATTTATCTTTCGCCGTATTATTGTCGACTTTAGAACCTGGAGCGACGTATGCTCATCTATGGTTGACAGCTGCGTATTTTTGTGTCGGAGCGGCGACTGTTGGATCTTATTTCGCATGTTTGACATGTGGTACGTTTCTCGTATCTTCCCTTCCCATACTCATTCATCTTCCAATTCACTCAACTTGCTCCGCAACGTCGAAATTCTCGTTTGGAGTACTACGACTTGAGAATTAAAGAAAATGAAGTTTCAAGTGTACTTACTACAAGCTTCATTATCCTTCCCTTCTCACCCCACATTATCCCTTTCTGTCCCTCTTTCCCTACTTGGACTTTCATCCCTCGTCCTCTCTTCATTCTCCTCTTTACCCATATTCTCCTCATCCTCCGAATTAGACCCTCGAAAATTTCTAATCTTCCTCGGTATTCTTTCCCCCTCTGTAAACCTCTTCGCAGCTTTGTTCATGCGTGTCATCCCTCCTTCTAACTCATTACCCGACTCTCCTAATCTCGGACCGACATCACCTCTGATGCAAAGTTTTCATGGCGAATTTCTCAGTCAAAGTTTACATCTCGATGAAAGAACTCCTCTTCTCATCGGTGGACCTGATGCTGCTTTACAAGAGATAGAAGAAGTTGGTCGAGAAATCAAATGGACAGCATGGGGTTTGTTCAAAGATTGGGAAGGTTTTTGGGTATTTGGATTGGTTTTAGCACTTTGTATCGGTCCGGTATGTTTTTTTTCTCTTCTTACCTTCACCTTTCACCATTCACTTAACAGTTATCACCAGTAGAATACAAGTATCAGAAATGGTAAGACTGATGAAGCCAGAGTGAAACTATAATAGCTTCAATCGGTTCTATTCTCACTTCTCTACTTCCATCAACAACATCCCTCACTCCTTCTTCATCAATATCATTCCTATCGCAATTTACCATTCTCACACAACCATCAGCTTTGTCATTAAGGAACAAACACGTTTACATACTTTCTTTCTCTGGAACTATCTCACGTCTTTTAACAGGTTTCATAGCGGATAGATTATCCCCACCACTCGTAGCTATCCCAAATCCGGCATACAAACCTGACGGAGAACCAGATTCAAGGTCAGGTTCAAGTTCAAGTGACGATATCCCACCACATTTGTTCGTAAGACAAAAACCTGTCATTGTATCTCGATCGGTATACGCAGGGATATGTGGTATTCTTTTGGCTGGTGTTTTCGCTTGGTCAGCTGGTTGGTTGGAGTCTGAGCGAGGTCTTTGGGTTTTAAGTGCTGGGACTGGAGCATTGTATGGATCTTTGTTCACTCTTTCCGTGAGTTTTGACCTTACCTCTTTACCCTACCTCGTCTTAATTCATCATGTCATGGTTACCCACCCAGGAGTACTCATATTACTTCCTAGCCATTCGTCTTTTTCTTCGTGTGTATCGAAGGACATATGATTCGTCGTCATGGGAGATATGGAGGACGAATACAAATGCTGAATTACAACACAGCCCGCGATTGTCTCTGCCCACTTTGGTCCCACAAACTTCGGTTTGGCATGGGGTATGGTATCTTATTTCGCTGCTCTCGGTTCTGTCTTATTCTCGGTGAGTGATCTTTTTTCCTCTTCCCATCACTTTCTTACCCGACTCATCAAAATAACCATCTATCATCGTCATCTCCCAAACGAGATCCTAAACCGACATGAAAGCAGAGGTACGCTCAACCACAACCCTTGCACCTTGAGTCAAGAGAATATTCCAATCACTGAGAAAGTCAAGAATGTTTCACTGACTCACAGTACCTCTACGCATTCATATCTGAATCTCAAGCGGAACAACTTTCTCCTACTCAATGTTACGGTCCTCATTGTTTCCGAACAACCCTCTACGTTTCTGCTATCTGTTGTGTAGGTAGTGCAATAGGTTTTGTTTTTATAGGTAGACGATGGAACGTCTAATCTCAACTACTACACGTTCTCTCTTATTGTACGAACAATGAAATTGATCAGGTCATACCACTATGCATAAACATGCAAATGTCATTAGGACGTCATGATCATTTAATCATTCTGTTGGAGGTGCCGGAGAGGGTGTTTTGGAAGGAGTGGCGGTTTTGCCTTTGGTAGCTAGGAGACCTTGAAACTGATCGTCAGCGTACACAGATATCGGATATATTCAGATTGTCTCATAGCGAAGGAGAGAGTCTTGCAATTAGAAAGATCAATCTGTTTGAGATTTTGAATATGCGGCTTTGGTAGTAGGAAGAATGTATGGAAAGAAGGATAGAAAGAGAGGGACATACGAAATTGTGCAAAGCTTCGTTAGGTACAGCTCCGGGATTCGAACCTGGTGATAGTGGTCCACCAGGACGAGTGGAGTCCTGTTTCTCAGCATTAACTCTTTCTTCTTCCGCAACATGACACTCGTGAAATGTGAAAATCAAATGCCTCAAGAAAAGGGGGGGAACACTATGTCCGACCAGCTTTCTATCTCTATCTTTCCACCGCGTCACCCATATGACCAGGCGTCAGATGTCAGGTGTCGACTTATCTGAAGAATAGGTATCTTGTCTTACCGATCAAGGAAAAAAAGAAGAATATTGGAAGAAGAATATTGGATTTCAGACGTAAAGATAATCAAATGATAAATATGACTCACCTTCCTTCCCAACCTCGCAAATTTTTCTTTCAACTCTTCAGCAGAACCTCCCATCTCATTGATAACCTTCTCTACTCCAGGTAAGTTCAATCCCCCATTACCCATAGGTCCCACGACTCCTCCCATACCTGAGAAAGTCCCCCCGGATGACGAAGGTGTCAGATTTGGACCGACAGTTTCGGTCGAAGCTGATGCCGTGAGGGCTGAACGGAATTGTTGTCGAGGATCTAATCTATTAGGATCACGCATGAGGAGGTCTAATTGTCTAGAGAGGAAATTTTGTTCAGGTTCGACTGTGGTGGTTATTGATGTATTTGTTGAAGGCTAAGCGTGAGCAATTATTCATTTTTGGTATAGAAAGTCAATATTTCATTACTTGACCAATTGGCCAAGGTTGGAGCTTGTCTCGCGATTCGGCATATTCTAAAAGAAGCAGAGATGAACTCTTTGAAAGTAGCCTCTCAGCCGACAGGAACTTCTTGAGTGGTCAAGTGAGGTGAAGATGGAAAGTGTTTTTGAGATCAAGATGCGTCAGGCAAGAGGATGAGAGAGACTTGATGCCTCACCTTCGGACCTCTCTCAGTATCAGGTATCATTCCTTCCCATAAATCCTCCACATCTTCCTCTTCACCATCTTCCACCTCTTTGGTTTCTCCCTTTGCTACCTCCGCAGCTCTGTTTAGCCCAACTTCCCAAGCTTTGGCAACGCGAGCTGGATCAAAACCCTCGCGCAAGACGTTAATCTTACCCCATGAATCCCACCCACTGGGGACCATCACGGCGTCTCTATCCAGAACATTGGCCCGATGAGGGAATGGGAATCGAGAGGTGGGAACAGGGGTATTTGATTCTGTGGGCGAGTGAAGAGAAGGAGGGGTGGTGTAGAGACGGTGAAGGAGGTAAGTACGGAGGAGGGTATATGTTTGAGGTTGAGTGGGTGCAGTATAGAATAAAGCTGCGCCGTCTGCTAGTCAGCTCAGTCTCACATGACTTGATTACCGAGCTGGCGATGGAAGGATCCCTCATGACTTCTTAAGTCCAGTAGACACCAAGCCACGGGATGGGGCGTTTGCAAGAATGGAGTCATCAGTATCGTAAGACTCACACGCCAGACACAGAGTTCTCAAAACTTGTTGTATCCAATCCGTCCTCTCTTCCCATCCAGCACCTTTCATCCCAATCTCGTCCCCTACAGTATCCATCAGATCTGCTTTCGTACAAACCACCACAATGGGTATACCAAGTCTGTCCTATCAGCTTCTCCTCTGAAAGCACATCAGACGCACTGGTTCAGAGTCAACGTCCCCGGACCAAGTGGTAATAATGGTCCTGCGCCATAAGCCGCCAGGCCAGAGCTGGTCGATGTTGCAGGCTCAGAGTAATGCTGCAAGTGACTTTGGACTGAAAGTCAGTTTGTGCCACTGTAGTCCTTGGAGGAGACATACGTCTGTCTCGCATTTCTTCAGCTTCGCCTTGCTCGGTTGATGATTCGACCCATTTGTCTATCCATGCTAGCCATGTGAGCAGCTCGCGGACCTGGAGCATGAGCATTGCTTTATGATCCCGGCGCGAAGTACATGAGGACCCAAAGTGGGCCGTAGAGCGTTGACAATTACAGGTGAAAGGGCGGAGCAGAGATGAAACATACCATCAAAGACGGCTTGGTCCAATCGAGAAGAATGACAACAGCTGTATCTTGCAAAGAGTTTGGTGGTAATGAAGCAGGTACCAATTTCAAAAGGTTTTCAGCTGAGCTAGGTGGGTAAAAGACTGATAAAGGTGGTGCTGATTCTAACCATGAGCTATCTCTCTAACTCACTTCCTTCAACATCCAGTCCTCTTTGCGGAGGATGACATGAACATGGTCATACTCGGATGTGCAAATCATGAAATAGGTACGCACAATCCACATAAACTCTAGTGGGAACGGAAGAATAACAGATATAAACGTACGAGCAGGCGTGAAAAGGTAGAGAGCATGAAGATGAAGTCTCATACGAAGAACGAAACTTACCTTCATCACCTTCATCCCTCATTTCTAAAACTTCATACCCCAATGCCAAAGCGGTGGTCTTTGAAACTTTCCTCGGTTTATGTTTGTTGGATATTGTTGAAGATAATTTATCTAACAGAAATCGTCTTCCACGATGTTTTTCGGCTAATCGTAAGTCTACATATCCTAACCGAAAATTCCACCTTTCTCGAACTTATCGAGGACGTGATGATAGTGTATGAATCGATGAATCAAATGTCACGATAGAGACGTTATGACATTACATGAAACGATGAACCTCCAAGTCGAGGTCAAGACACAGACGTAGTTGACAATGTATGAGCAACCCGAGTCAAAAGTACATGATACAGATGTCAAAAACCCGACTCGTAGACGTATCTCCTGACCAGAATGAAGAAACAAATCAAAGAACAAAAAATGAGGGGTATATGATCTTCTAAATGGTTTGAGACGATATGCAAAGTGTCAAGTGACAAATAACAACGAAGATATTTCAATGGTCAATGATCGATGATCATTCGATAGATATAATGGTGACACACAGATATATCAAGTTTTTGAGAAAAGAAATTACAGTTCAACTCACATAACAAAAGAACATTCTTCCTTTTCAAACCTTTCTGTCTATCTGCTTCACTCAATATCTCACTCCATAAATTCCCTTGAGTTGTCAACTTGGAAGAACCGGCTGTGGGTGAAGGTAAGTTCATCTTTGTTTCCTTTTGTTATTTCCCTCACTTCTTTACTGTCTGTCGTCTTTATACTTGTTGAGAGTTTGTGGGTATTTGATTTGTTATTCGATTATATCGAGGGTTGGAAAAGATCAATAAGTCATGAGAACAGGTACTTTTGAGAGTTAGAGGAAGAGAAGGAATGTCAAAGCGTAACTCTGCCCAGCGAATTTTGATCCCGACGCGTCTCCCGTGAGTGACATCCCACACCATAGCAAAATGGGTGGTGGGAAATGACAACGGGTGGGTGGGATGATGAGGTTAAAGGAGATAGCATAGGTTTCATTGCGAGTATCTTAGAAGAAGAAGATGAGAGAATTATGCAAGTATTCTTTGAATGTATAAAGACGAGAAGAAATCCCAATCAACATGCATTTACTTGAGCACCCCTTCTACTAGTACTTACACATTTACACCATCCAACAAATCCCAACAAATTTGTTATCGACAACTCAATAATCATATTGTTCATACCCATAAGCTGAGACTTGATACCCTCCTCCTTGATAATACATGCCTCCTCCGTTCATCCCATTAACTCCATTCCCATTCATACCGTTCTGACCCGCGGCATAAGGGTTGTAATGTGTCGAAGGATATTGTACATTCGCATTGATCGAATTAACACGAGCATACTGAGTTTCAACCTTATCTTTATCGACTGGACGTCGGATTGATATTTTCTGACCTTTTTGAGCGGGGACAAAGTATTCCGAAGTTAAATTATTAGGTATGATACCTTGTTGCATCTGCATATTCATAGGCATGGGTGTGTAAGGTGATGGTGATCTGGTGTCGTATTGTTGAGGAAAGAACATGGGTGGTGAAGGGACAGGTACAGGCGCAGAGAAAGAAGAACGAGGTTGAAATTCTTGAGCGTAATATATTTCTTCATTTCTTTGAGCATATGGGTTAACATGAGGATGAGATATGAGTGGTGGAGTTGGGGAATAGTATTCTGCTGGTGGGAAAGAACCGGTGTGTTGTTGTGAAAAAGCACCAGAGGATAGAGAACCGGTGTTGTTTGCTGTGAGATATGGTTGAGGGGAAGGATGGGTCGAGCCTTGATATGGTTGACCGGGGACGAATGAGGGAGGAAGTTGGGAAATTGGAGGGAGACGTGAGATTTGAGAAAGGGTAGAAGACGGTGGAGCGGAAGGGGCGGATGTGACGGAGGGAACAGGTTGTACGGAAGGAACGTGAGGGGAAGGAGCAGCGGATGTTGTGGAGGGAAGAGCAGTCAAAGCCCTGGATTGGGATATCTGGTTCGAACTGGATGTCGGTGCAGTAGGAATGGAAATTGTCGTGCTTGCCGTAGATCCAGGTAGACGTATAGTGACACCAGATGATGCCAGAAGTTTCTCAGCGGTAGGAGCAGTCGAATTCGCTTCAGCAAATTTGTCAACAGCAGGAAGAGATGTTACAAGTGAATCTGTTTTGGACAGTGGTGAGGGTTCAGTATGGTTTTGGGCCGCGATCATGTTTCTCGCTACAGGTTGGAAAGGTCGATGAGGACCAAAGCCAGCCAGGTGAGGGAATCCACGTTGATTTCTACCTCGACCTCTACCTCGTAAAAAAGGATTGAAAGGAACTTGAACTTCTGTAGCCAGCTGTGCTTCGAATCCCTCATGTCCCCACTTCTTCTCTGAGCGCAACACGGGTGGCTGAGATTTAGGTACATCGGGCTTCTCCTCGACAGGCTGCTCTGGAATCTCGATTTTCGCCTCTGCTTCGGCCTTTGCCTTGGCTTCAGCTCGTTGACGTTCACGTTGCTCCAATTCCCGTTCTAACTCGTCCATTCGTAAACCGCCACCGCTCGAGACTTGCGGTTGAAGCTCTGCTTGTGGGTATCGTTGATGTGCCCTGTTCTCGCCTGGTCTAAACATGTTTGCCATTCCCCTACCTCTTCCTCGGAAACCACCACGCATACCTCCGCGAGGTAAGAAGCGCCCGCGCCCATACTCGTTCGATTGCCTGAAATCGTTCATCTCTCCCACCGCCCCGCTTTCCGACGGCAACCCTTGGTCATGCGTCCAGAAGCCACCGCCACGAGATTTAGAAGCTGAATCTTGAGGTTGAACTTCGCGATTGCTAGTTCTTCCGTTTCGAGGTTGTCCGGCAGGGGTCGCAGAGAGATTTGACGTGGGCCGCTGTATTGTAGTAATGGAACTATCGATAGTCAATGCGGATGTCGGAGTGATGAGTGAATCGACTGAGTGTTGATCATTCTTCGACCCATTCGTATGAGCCTGAGTAGTTGCGGTGACGTGAGAATCACCCTTGCTTGCTAGTTTTGCCGCTTGGCGTTCCTTTTTCTTCAATTCACGTTTCGCTTTCGATTTTTCCTTCTGTTTGGCCTTTCGAGCCGCAATACGTTCTTCATCCTGCTTTGTCCGTTCCTTTTTCTCTTTCCCGTTCCCATTCTCCATTTTCGCCACATTCGCAATTTTGTTCAAGTCGCCAAAGGACACAACTTCGGTGGGTTGCTCGGTCGAATCGGTCCATCCTAGAGGTGTAGTAGATTTGGCATCGGCAAATATTGGTTTACTCAAAGTCTCAGTGGTCTTCTGTGGCGAAGCAGAAGAAGCTGGTGAAACATGTTTGTCACCTTCTTGACCCTCGTCATCTGAGGTAAGAGAGGCGTCGTCGTCAGTGTCATTGTCATCTGTATCTGACGCTTGATCACCTTCCGACTCGTCTGACGCCGCAACACGACGACGTGGTTTAGGTTTCCGACTTTTCTTCGATTTGACTTTCGGAGGATTAGAAGGTTGCAAGGAGTTAGGAGGAGAGGAAGGGACGGTCAAAGGGATATCGGCTTGAGGTATTTGTTGTTCTTTTGTAGGATTGGTAGTGACATCGCTCATTTCTGTCGATAAGCACATATTCGCCACAGGGAAGAGAATGAATTACTCACGATTGGTCGTACAGGAGGCAAAACGTGAAGAGTATATGAGAATGAATTGGTTGAAGTGGTACCAATGACACTTATAGTTTGAACAAATGTGAAAAAGAAAGAGAAAAGAGTCCGAAAAAGTATCTATAAATATGTTTGTTTTTGTTCGTTTCTACTGATCAGCACTTTTATAAACACGGGTGGGATATGAATGTGATGTGACCGAAAGGGGCGAGGTGTGTGACATTGAGTGATATAGTAAAACGTCACAAGATCGACGGTTTAACTGATGAAATTTCAGTCGCCACCCATTCAACCTCCACTCGACTTGTCACCCCTCAGAACTCTTCGAAATCCCACTTTACGACTCATCATCATGCCATCTTCTCATCTCTAGACGGTCAAGGTATGAGTAGGAGAAAAAGAGACTTACTTGTTGTAATGCTTGGTCGTATCGTAAGGGAGGAAGAGACCAAGGGAAGGAACAGTCGAGATGCAAGATTTAAAGTGAGGGTGTCGAATAAGACTTACATCGAGCTTACAAGAAGACAATACGCCTGGTGAAAAAAGACAAAAATTTAATTTTACCCTCCATCGACCTATCGACAACTAGACCAAGATACCTCCCTTTCACACTTCCCTCCCTATCGGGAAAGATGTGGATTACTATCAACTACTCCAACTACCCACAACAGCCTCGACTGACGAGATTTTACGAGCGTATAAACGACTAGCATTGATTCATCATCCCGACAAATCCAGTCCGAACCACCCCCCAATACCTGCCGCCTCTAATCAAAGACCTTTCTTAGCACAGAATGGGTCTACTAGGATCGATTTTCGTTTATTGAACGAGGCCAAATACGTTCTATCCGATCCTCACAGAAGGGCGGAATACGATGCTACACTGATCATACATCAAGGTCAAGGTGAGTTTGCCTTGCATCAGTAACTGTCCGATACAAGCTAATCGGTAGCTCGGCAAGAGACTGAACAAGGTCCACATATATCTCATCAAGTCTCCTTGGAGGATTTTATCCCATATTACACCGACAATTGCGATATGAAAAATCACGATAAATCGCCGGTTGGATATGAAGGTGGTGGGGAAGAGGAGGAGGTTGAGGGTCTGGAGAAGGAAGTGGAATATTGGACGTATCCATGCAGGTGCTCGGGTCAGTTTAGAATCACTAGAGAGGATTTAGAAGAAGGTGTGGACGTTGTGGGGTGTGCTGGATGTGGAGAGTGGGTAAAAGTGTTGTATGAGGTGTTGGAGGATGGTCCGTAGTTCATCAGCACTACAAGTACTGGCATTTTTGCATCCTTTTGAGATGAAGGTAAATCACTAACACAACGAGGATGAGGCTTGTCTGCACGTCTGCATCTTCAATGTCTGGATAGTCATTCGCTCTTGTGATGAGGTGGCTAGACCTACTTATCCCACCCGTCTATACTCTAGATCCAGTCCCAGTTGGTGGCAATTGTCCATGAAAATTCTGCCGTTCTCCCCGGCCACAACTCACTCTCTGCTATCTCTCTTTCCTCCAACTTTGTACTTCTTCCTGCTCATCCTCTCCTACCCTCCTCACTATGCTCCGTCTATCCACCCGTTATCTAATATCTCGACACCCCATACGTCCATTTCACACCTCATACCCCACCACAATCAAAATCCGTCATTCCTCACCTTCCGACCCTCCTTCTCCTGCTGAAAAACCTCCAAATGTCCCGGAAGACATTATTCCCTCTCCACCCTTCGAACCTGAAGTTTACTCTCCTTCATCTACACCAACCTCCTTCTCCTCATCCTCCTCTACTTCAGGAGAGACTACATCCTCCGATCCTCCCTCAAATGCGACAGAGATCCCATTGGAACCTCCTACAACTCCGGATTTGTCCAAATTGCCTTCATTAGACATCGACCCCGAGGCTGCTTTACCAGAACCATCACAGGATAAAGATGAAACGAGTCAGAGGACTAGAGCGGGGAAGAAAGAATATGTTTCGAGTATCGATCGTCAACGTAGAATGTGGGTGAGGATAGGGATGACTAGTCTTGTCATTGGAGGTTTGGGAGCTGCTTGGTATATAGATCAAAAGGATGGTGAGACGGTGAGTCAACCTCTTATAAACTTTAAGATAATCAAATCAAGTCACCAGACTAACGTTCAGACCAATACTACTCATTGGACCAGATTCAAAACAAACCTCTCCGAGATGTTAGACGTTTTCAATAAACCAGCATTCAAAACACTTCTCCCAGATCCTCTTCCAGCACCACATCAAAGACCTTACACTTTGATCGTTGATCTAGAGGGACTTTTAGTTTCTTCTACTTGGGATAGGGTGCATGGATGGAGAACAGCCAAAAGACCTGGAGTGGATTACTTTTTAGGATATTTGAGTCAATTTTATGAAATTGTTTTGTTCACTTCTCAACCTCTTTACGTGGGTTATATTTTTTCTTCTCTCTCACACAAGTGATTCATATTCCCAATTCCTCGCACACTTTTAGTGTCTGCTGACTTTGATGTGTGTTGAAACCTTGTGTGGATCACAGTCAACGTGGGCGGAAGATGGACAGGTGGGGATGGATTTTGAGCTGACATCATAGACTGCCGCACCCGTAGCAGAGAAACTTGACCCTTTTACTAGTTACTTACCTTACAAATTGTTCAGAGAGTCGACTCGTTATGTCGATGGTAAAGTTGTCAAGGTATGTTTAATCTTGATTCTAGTACCTCTACTCCCCTTCAAGTCCTCGCACTTCATGATCCCATTTATTGCCCTCGTCCCCTTTTCGGTTTCTCATCTAACCTGTACTCTGTTGCCCTATATCTAGTCAGCCTTCTACCCTCAATCACGCTTTGGAAGTCAAAGTATAGTCTAACCTTCAGGATTTATCATACCTCAATCGAGATCTATCCAAGGTAATCGTGTTAGACACCAACTCTGAGCATACTGCTTTACAACCTGACAACGCTATAATAGTCAAGCCGTGGACTGGGGAGAGAGGAGATCATGGATTGGTTGATATGATACCATTTCTTGAATGTCAGT